AATGGAAGTAAACTTATTTCAACTAATGAGATGATTACAGACATAGATCCCAGAATCAGGAAATTATGTCTCTTTTGCATTAAATAGGCATGGCCTTGCTTTTTGAATTAATGGCTTGTAATATTAGTTAAGTTTATTTCATTTTATTGTATTTGTCAATTACTTGTTTATCCTTGTATTTGTCTATATAAGGGTAACTATTTCATTGTAACAATTAACTTTTGAAATATATAAAATTGGTTTATCCATTTGAGAGAACTTTTGTGTTCTTGAGTGTGAATTCTTTATCCAAGTCTTGGCAAGGGATTTGTTGGTGAATAAAGTCAAGTTGGTGGAGAAATCCTTTATACTTGAAGTGTTATTACTTGTCTTGGTCCGAAAATGGCAAGTAAGTGTTTTGAACTCTAATATTTGTGTTGGCCAAATTTGCTTGGTTTTGTGGTATATCGTTATGTTGTATTGGTTGGAAATGGATCATCTTGATACACTTGATGCTAATGGTTTCAGTTACAAAGCAGTGAATGGGAGTCTAAAGGTGATGAAAAGGTCTTTAGTGGTTATGAAGGTTGAGAGAAAGAATGGGTTGTATGTGTTGAATGAGGAAGCTAAGAGTGGTACTACAGCTATTAGTTCTCTAGAGGTTCAAGACAAGACTGTTCTTTGGCACCAGAAACTTGCTCATATTAGTGAGAGAGGCCTAGTAGAGTTAAGTAGGTAGAATCTGCTTTATGGGGACAAAATTGAGAGATTGACATTTTGTGATCACTGTGTTTATGGCAAGATGAGTAGAGTTAAGTCTGGTTCTGGTCAACATTACTCAAAGGCACCACTTGAGTATGTTCACTCAAATGTTTGAGGACCCGCTAGACATTATTCTCTTGGTGGATGTAGGTATTTTATTAGTTTTATGGAAGATTTCTCAACATATGTTTGGGTTTATTTTTTGAAGACCAAGGATTAAGCATTTCTAAAGTTCAAGGAATGAAAGACCATGGCGGAGACTCAAACTGGGAAGAAATTGACGACGCTCAAAACTGATAATGGTTTAGAATTTGTTAATCAAGTGTTTAATGATTTCTGCAAGTTAAATGGTATAGTGAGGCACAAGACAGTAAAGCATACACCATAACAAAATGGCTTATGTGAAAGAATGAATAAGACCATTTTGGAAAAGGTTAGAAGCATGCTTTCAAGTTCAAAATTACCACTGAAGTTTTGGGCTAAAACAGTACACACTACAGTCTACCTCATTAACAGAACATCATCCTTAGCAATAGACTTTAAGGTTCCTTTGGAGAAGTTTACTGGACACTCAATTAAACTGGACAATCTTAAAGTGTTTGGCTGTTTATCCTATTCTCATATTAAGGATGATAAACTTAAACTGAAGGCTATGAAATGCATTTTTTTTTTTTATATCCAAAAGGTGTTAAAGGCTTCAAACTTTGGAATTTGGAGGATAAAAAGTGCATTATAAGCATAGATGTGATATTCAGAAAGCATGTGTTATTGGGGCTTAGGAAAGAGATGCAAAGTTCAGAGGGGATGTTATCTGAGGCTGATAAATTAGAATTAGAATTAGAATTAGAGTTGTTAACTTTTCAATCTGGGCAGAATTCAGACCAAGGTGGAGCAATTGATACTAAAATTCCACATGAGACAAAAGATGAACAAGTTGAAAATCTTGAAGATGAACCAATGGGAAATGAATCAGAACTGGGAGATTATCATTTAGCCAGAGATCGGGTTAAGAAGGTGATTAGGCCTCCCAATAGGTTTGGATATGTAGATCTTGTTGCTTATGCACTGCAAGTAGAAGAAGATTTAAATGATGAAGCTAAGACATATCAAGAAGCTGTAACCGGAATGGATAAACTTAAGTGGAAAAAGGATATTGATGAAGTGTTCAACTCTTTGTTGAAGAATGGAACGTAGACATTGGTGGATAAACCCAAGAATAGTAGAGTGGTTAGATGTAAGTGGATTTTTAAAAGGAAACCAAGAATGACTTCTTCTGAGTCTCCAAGATTCAAGGCTCGTTTAGTGGCAAAGGGATTTACTCAAATTGAGGGTATAGACTACAATGAAATCTTCTCTTCTGTAGTCAAGCATTCTTCCATAAGAGTGATATTGTCACTAGTTGTTCAGTATGATCTTGAGCTGGAACAATTGGATCAGCGTTTTTACATGGTGATCTGGAAGAAAAGATTCTGATGGAGCAACCTGAAGGTTATGAAGAAAAAGGCAATAAAGGTCAAGTTTGTTTACCTAAAAAAATTTTATATGGTCTTAAACAATCACCACGTCAATAGTATAAAAAGTTTGATTCATTTATACTTGAAATTGGTTTTCTGAGATGCAATTATGATAGTTGTCTTTACTTTAAAAAAACTTCAGATATGACTCATGTTTATTTGCTTTTGTATGTGGATGATATGCTTATTGTCTGTCATGACAAGTCTGAGTTAACTCACCTGAAGAAGATGTTGAATACCAAGTTTGAAATGAAAGAATTGGGTAAGGCTCAAAAGATTCTTGGTATTTCAATAATCAAAAATCGAGTTAATGGGAGCTTGAAGCTGTCTCAGCAAGAATATGCTGAAAAAATACTACAAAAGTTTAACATGGGAGAGTCCAAGGCTGTTCAGACACCACTTGGGCAACATTTCAAGCTTCACATTATCAAAGTCCACAATCAGAAGAAGAAAAATTGAAGATGTCTTCTGTGTCTTATGCTAATGCTCTAGGAAGTTTGATGTATCTGATGATATGCACTAGGCCAGATTTAGCTTATGTAATAAGCCTTATAAGCAAATTTATGAGTAATCATGGGAAGGTTCATTGGGATGCCTTGAAGTGGATACTGAGATGTGTGAAGGGGACAACTTCTGTTGGTATTAAATACAAAAGAAGTCAATTGAATCAAGCTTGTGTAGATGGGTTTGTAAATGCTGATTATGTAGGAGATGTTGACAGAAGAAAATCCACTACTGGATATGTATTCTTGGTTTGGGGAAATGTGGTGAGTTAGAAATCTAAACTTCAGAATATGGTGACTTTATCCTCTACAGAATCTGAATATGTAGCCATTACTAAAACTGCAAAAGAAGCAAGGTGGTTGATGGGTCTTGTAGGTGAACTGGGAATTGTTCAGAAACTGATGGTGATACAAAGTGATAGCCAGAGTGCTTTTCACTTGTGTAAGAATCAAGTTTTCCATGAACGTAGTAAACACATACATGTACATCTTCACTTCATTCAAGAACTTATTGAGAATTGTGAGATAAGAGTGGAAAAGGTGGCTGGATGTAAAATTCCAACAGACATGCTTACAAAGCCAGTTACTACTGATAAACATAGGCTCTATATGAGCCTATTACATGTTGAATGATAATCATCAAGGATTCCAAGGCAAGGGTTAATTTTCTAGTATGTGAAAGCAAGTACCAAGGTGGAGAATTGTGATAAGTTTGGCACTTCTTTGTCATGTCACTAGCCAAGTCAACAAGTTGTTTTTAATGTTTGGAAAGTCAAATATTCTGGCTTATTGAAATGCTGTCGTTTTGGATAATGGAGGACCACTTTTAGCTCTTGTCTTCATGGCATTAATTCACCTACAGCAAAAACAAATTCAGTTGCTCTCTCTCTTTTGCAATGTCGCACCATTCAGTTAAGATTCTTCTTAATCTTCATCCTACGGCTGGAAGGAAGCTTGATTTCAAGTGGAAGCTGATGCTGAGACCCTGTGATTGTTTAAAAACTCACCCTTGATTAACAGAGAGTGAGAGAGAGTTGATTGGATTCAAAGGGGGCTAGGGTTTATCAATTAATCAGGTGTGATTCTTCCTTGTTATTGGGTTTAAAGGTTAATATGATCTGTAAATCTAAGGATACTATTGATTCAATGAAATACTACCTTGCCTTTAAGAGTGAACATAGGCCTCGAGTGCTGAACCACTATAATCAAATGTCTCCTTTATTTTTTTCTTGTTTTTCTCTTTATATCTTAATGCCTATTGATTGTCCTGCGATTGATTGTTTTTTAATCTTGTTGGGATTGTTCATCTAAGAGCATAGTTTTATTATATTTGATCAAAGAAACTCTAACAGTAAATAATGAGAAGGGTAAATAGACTCTTATGTATAAAATGGAAGTAACCCTAAAAATTAACTGAACAGAAGGGGGTTTTTTAATAGTTTCTCAGAACCCTAGGTTTTCCTAAGTTTAGCTGATCTCTCGAGGGGGTGGACAATAAAAACCCAACGTTTTGACGTTGTAGCTCAATTTTGTTCCTGATTAACCCTCCAAGTTGGGGGACAATGAACCTTATTCATGGAAACATCAGGGTGGCCTCCGCATTTCCTGGTAGGTCGTCTTCAACAAGCAATGTAACTGCACTAAATTTAAAAGAGGGGATAAAGTGGGACACACTTCTAGGAGGAGATGAATGTTGCACCAGATTGAAAGGAAGCCCATGGACCCTTACAGCAATATGTTGGACCAACTCTACGAATGGGGATTATGTACCCAAATGATGGGTAAGCCATGGATGAAAGACTCTAATCCTACCTCAAAAATCACAATTCTGCATATTAGGATATTGGCATCTGTTATGTCCAGCAAAAGCTAGAACAGAAGATCCTAGTACAAGCTCATATATCTTTTTCGTTCATCTGACAAGCTGATCAATTGCAGGAAGGCAAAATCAAAAAGTTCAGACTATCGTGATACCAAAATCAGACACAAGATCCAGTGACTATGGCCACGGTCCCCAATCCCCTTATATCATGAACCAAACTATTGATCCACCAAAGCTATATCATGGTCCTCTTGTTCAATTCAGGCACAATCTGCAGATACTAAACAACACATAAGATACGAATCGTCTTAAGTGTTTCCTTGTACTATAGGCCTACATTAACAGTACCTGTAGAACAGGATCCTAATCCAGAGTTGGAACCAAAAAAAGGCAACAATGATAAGATAAGAAATTATTCTAAGACAGAAGACTAATGCCCTCTATGAAACACCAAATAAACTAGCTTCAAGTAGAGTATATATGCATGACAGCTTACGCTACAAAATGCACAAAGGATTCCTACATTGTCAGTTGTCTAACTCAGGAAATGGGCTCTAGGGGTCTTCTAGCTTGTTTACTAGCTCTGCCAGAAGATTTCTTGGAGCATCAACTATACATGAATTATATATTTAAATTATATTTTCTACAGATTCAACATCTTTTTTTCCTTTAAACAACAAAAGAAGCAAACAATTGCAATAAAACTACATGTGGCTAAAATAGCCTGAGTTGACGCACAACTGCCTAATAAATACCTCCAAACCTATTTACTTATCGGGGAAGTCAGCTTACTTTCCTCTGAATCATGTTTTGATGAAGCATCTCCACCCATCAATTCCTGGAAACCATCAACCTTCACTGGAGGAGCCCTAACAATGCCCATATTCCTGCATGCACACAACTTGATTCAGAATGATCACTTTTAATCAGCTCTAATTAACTTTCTTTTTCTCTCTTTTTTTCTTTTTTTTTCCCAGAACTGTAAGTAAAATTCAGTATTTCTTTTTAATTCTTACTGTGTCTGCACTTGGGGTGTCTGCATTGGAGGTGTCTGCATTGGAGGTGTATGCAGTGGAGGTGTATGCATTGGAGGTGTCTGCATTGGAGACGTCTGCACCTGAGGTGTCTGCATTTGAGACGTCTGCACCTGAGGTGTTGGCACTTGAGGTGTCTGCATTTGAGGTGCCTGCACTTGAGGAGTCTGCAATTGAGGAATTTGAACAGACGCCAACTGTCTCAACTGATTGCTAGATTTTAAATGGAGATTTGACAGTTGTTGCCGGAACTGCATTTGAGATTGCCTGGGATTAACTGCATTTAAGGGGTTTGCATCCATTTGCAGTTCTGAAGAGTTCTCCACCTTGGCTGTTACCGTGGGTCGGTCTTTATCCATATCCATGCCAGGGTGAGGATTGGTTGGTTGGCGTTTCCGCATCCTCTCCAAGTGTTGCTGCTGCAGCTGTAAAGCCAAATTTTGAGGTTGAACCACCTGCTGTATTTGCTGATTCATTTGTCGTGGTAACTGTAGCTTCAAAATAAAATTTTAGTGGAGGAATTTCCAACAATGCCATATCGAAAATTCAACATTAGGACTCGTTTATCTATAGTGTAAGCTATACATACAAAGGTATTAACTCTCCTCAAAATTCACTATTAAACCCCAACATCAAGAAATCATGATTCAATAACAGTCTCAGGTACAACATTTAAAGAATTTACCAATCAATGAAAGAAATATAAACATACTAGAGCTTCAAAAACCTCAGGAGCTGGTTTCATCGTCTATAAAATCAGTTCACTGATAATAATCATAAATCCAGTCACATCAGTTGTGCTCAGGAAAAAAAAAAAAAAAAAAAAAGCTTCACGCATTTGTAAACTTTCAAGGTGTGCTTGGTTGGCTGCGCTGGGCAGTATTTAATGGAAGGGAAGGCATTATTTATTTTTTTTTTTTTAGTCGCTGTTTGGCTCCAATTTTGGCAAATGAGACTGCATTATAAGCTGTATCAATTTGAAAAGAAAAAAGACTGCACCCCTGATGCAGGAGCATCCAAGTTAAATCAAGTTAAATTAGGATTTCAGTTTTCCATCTTTATTTAGGATTCCTATTTAATAAAATATTTATTAGGAATAGTTTTCAGTCTAGAATTAGGATTTGTCCTAACTAGTATAAATAGACAACAGGAGTCAGTTTGCGTATTGTATCTTTTCTTTAGTTCAGAATTTTAATTCTAAGGTTTTCCTTAAACCTAATTATTTTCTATTGTTCCAACCACAATCACCCTATTCTAGCCCTAATTCAATTCACTCCAATCCAATACGAAAAAAATTAGTTCGATCCAATGCGTTACACCAAATGCCCCTTAATGTTCTCCTCTTAGGACTGCTTGAGGGGAAGCGACAAATATTGTTACTCTGATATTTCAGGAGTTGGATGGGGGATAATTTGGTTAAAAGATTAGAACAGCTAGACATGAATCAGGACTTCCTAAAGAATCCCTTAGTTAAATCCAACTCATACAAGAAACCATGCAGAAGAACATACCTGCTGGGGTAGTCTAAGGGTACTCTGTTGCTGCGCCTGCGATTGTGGCTGCATTCCATGTACTTGTTGCTGAGTTTGTGGCACTATATTCCTACTACCTTCCTTAACAAGCTCCGTAAAAACCTCAAAAGTTCTAGTGAGTAAAAAAGAGAAATATGTTAGACAATGGACACAACAGAACAAGCACTATGCCATTTAACCAAGCCAGCAGAAAATAATGATGCAATTACAAGCCCACGTAAAACTGATAGAAATTTTAGTTAACTATTTCATTTACTAATGAAATAATTACGATAATAACTGTTCGTTATTTTCCAAAATTTAGTCATATAACAGTCAAATGGCAGTAGCCCATTTGAATGTACAATACATGCAAATATATTATTTTACTAAACAGAAGAAACACGTGTGGATAACACTTCTCTGGAAGGCAAAAAAGCAACAAAGTTTAACCAATACCACAAATTTAATACAAAAAGAACTTCAAACTTACCTATATCCAGCTACTTCAAGAAACATCCTAATTAGTTCAATGGCAGAACAATGTTGTCTGTAACCATCAGAAAGAACTTTCAAGGTAACGCCTAATTTACGAATTTGACATCCAAGCAATTGAGAAAACACTTCCAACGAGACTTTAGTAGCACCATCAAATCCCGAAACAGTCAGTAGGCGGGCTATTACCTTTTGAGACACCTGTGATGCTTGCTCTTCAGAAAGACATTTATTATTCCCTTCAGAAACATTTTTTCCACGATGAAAGTTGCCTCCTTGTTCCATGCCAAGGTACTCAGGCTGTATACCAAGCCTCTCAATCATAACAGGACTCCTGGTCATAACCTGAGGCAAGGTATCAAGAATCCCATTCAACTCTACTTTTAGGTTAATTTTCTCTCTATTAATTGCCGGGACTGCAAAATGAGGCACACTATTCATTAAAAACATTGCTTCAGGTAAAAAAATGTCTCCATCAACCGAGTTACCAAAATCTGAAACAGAATCTGACAGCATGCTGGATGTACTCTCCGAGACAGAATTTCCAGAGCCTGTGCACTGATCCTCCAGAAATGGTACACGCCTTCTCTTATGTTTCTGAACAACTCTAAGGTAATCAGACATCCCCTCAGGGGTACGTTTATCCAACTCTCGTTGCCCCAGCAATACCTTATATGGTCTACTAAGTTTATACTTCTCAATAAACCGATCATACCATGTTTCCGGCAATTCGTCACTCCGAAATCTCTGGGGCAACATATCATACTGGGATTCATCATATCTTGTTCCAGTATTATAAGCTGATTTCAACTGATTCTGCAAACCCAATCAACATTTTTAGCAAAAATTAACACAAAAATAACTCCATATGTTCATTCTAGTACTGTAATCTCTACGGTTTAATGAGAACACATATATTACATCACAAATTCAGGAAAACATTTGTATGTGATGGATACCAGACCAATAATAAAAATTAGCATAACACTAGAATAATAATGTAACAAATATAATTAGGTTATCAAACCTTGGACGGCACAGTATTTGACGAACCAATAGTTTCTCGCATTTGAACCCCGTCTTGCGAATTATTTTCCAGAGTGAAGTACAAGTCATCGCCGTGCAACTGCAAATCTAAACACAAGGAAACCGGTTACAAAATTCACGACTGAAACAAGTGAAGAAACAGAGACTCACAGTTTGGATTGAGCTTCGAGACGGAAGCAGAAGAAGGATCATCATTTGGAAGAAACAGAGAGATGGCGGCTTTGTCGAACAATAGAGCGCGTGCGCGGAGTTGGAGATGGATCTGAGACTTAGATTTGGTGTGGTCGGCTCGCATGAAGGACTCCCACGTGGCAGGCGAAGAGAGGGAGTGAACGAAAGAAGAATAGTAAGTGTCACCGAGCCAGGTGCGCCACACGCCGCATACCTCCAACTTCCGAGCCAACTCGTAACCGCGTCCGTCGTCGCCGAGCAAAGCCATGGAGGAGAGTGAAGGTGAATCGAGTATCGAAGTCGAAACCTGAGGGTAAAGTTTCTGTTTTCGGATCGAAATTTTTTCTCCCCGGCCCAGTTCAACCCGACCCGTTGTTCATTTCATTTCTGATTTCCCAGTCAGGCACCCACAATAATTTAAAAAAAAAACACCCCGTTGGTTCACTTAAACTCTTGTAAAAATACTTCTTAAAAACTTTATATAAACCATTTGAAACGCACACGCTATTATTGGAAAATATTATATAACTAGACATAGGGTCTGCCTATTCCGCAATATGTTTATTTAATGTTTTTAAAACATATTATAAACAAATTTATTCTAACCAAATAAACTAATTAGATTAAGACATAATAATTATTAAATTATACAAATTTTAAAGTAAATATAAATTATATATATATAAAATTATGTTAAAATAAAATTAATAATTGTACCTGTATAATTATTAGTATCAATTATGGATAGATGTCATTGAATCATTCATCAAATTTATGAAGATCACTTGAATATTATATGGTCTAATTATATTTTCAAGATCATCACCTTATACAATTGATATTATTTTTGCAAAAATGTCTTTGATATTCGATGTCAATATTCTGCAATGAATTGTATATGATATTTAATATCACCTGAATATTATCGAGATCAACTATTTAAACTTAAAATTTATATTGACCTTCCCCAATTTCTGTAACTTATATTCATTTTCAAGTTGCGTTGCGCGGCTATGTTTATTATATTTTTTTACATTATTATTGGTTTTTTTGTGCTTTAAATATATATTTTTTATATTGAAGTTTATTTTATATTGAATTGATAATTAAAAATCAATAAATAAAATATCCACAAATTGAACTCAAAGTCTTTGTCATCATGGTTCTTCTCAAATGTGTCACCATTTGACATTTGCAACCAAAGTTTAAAACTTTGTTAAGAAAAGCAAAAAAATTTGCAAGATAACCCATTGAGTATTATTGATAAGTCTATAAATCAATCTGAGAAAGAGAAACTTTGTTGAAAAATGTGAACTTTTAAGCACGAGACTTACAGAGCCAAAGGAAAAAATTGATTTTGATTGTTGAAAAGAGAAAATGAATTATTTTTATTGTTATTATTTTATAAATAAAAAAAATTAACAATATTGAGAAAAGAACTCATATAGAAAGCAACAACAACTCCAACAGTATAATCTGAAGGCAACTTAATTGAAGCATTAAAGAAGCCATGAAGATAAAGGTCTTGTGACACAAATCCATTTGCTGCAAGTAGAATTGACCACCACTTAGAGCAAAAAAAGCATTTGATGAGAGCATCCTAAAGAAAGATGATAATTGTAAAACCCATAAATCAAAAAATAAAATCAATCCAAAAATCAACAAAAAGAGATAGAATAAATACAATTAAAACTACATATCGTTATTTGATTTATGTTGTCATCGCTAAAATTGAATATATTTTATGTATATGATGATAAAATGAATGATTCGGCAGCAGGTCTATAGTTATTCAAATTTTTTGTATAATATATCAAATTAAAGCCCTATCTTTCTAGTTTCCAAATATTCAAACCACTCACCAATTGGATTTTTATTGAGCAAATTATGGTTAATTTACTATTGACTATGCAGTAAAAATCGAGAAACAGGGGAAACCAAAATGTGTGCGATGATAAAAGGAATGGTTAGAAAGTAGGGCTACAGTTATCCAAATTAAACGTATAATATATACAATTAAAGCCCTACCTGTCTACTTTCTAAAAATTTAAACCTCTCATCAATTGGATTTTTACTGAGCAAGTTATGGTCAATTTACTACTGACTGTTCAGTGGAAATCGAAATGTATATGATGATAAAAGGAATGGTTCAGAAGTGGGGCTACAGTTATCCAGATTAAGCATATAATATATAAAATTAAATCCCTATCTATCGACTTTCTAAATATTCAAACCTCTCATCAATTAGATTTTTATTAAGAAAGTTATGGTCTGTTTACTACTGACTGTTTAGTGGAAACCGAAATATGTGTGATGATAAAAGGAATGGTTAAATAGTGGGGCTACAGTTACCCAAATTAAGCATATATCAAATTAAAGCACTGTCTGTCTAGTTTTTAAAGATTTAAACCTCTCATCAATTGGAGTTTTATTGAGCAAGTTATGGTCAATTTACTACTAATTGTTCAATGAAAACTTAAATGTGTGTAATGATAAAATGAATGGTTTACCAAAGCTACATGGTTCAACATCAAACATCAGTTGATATTTGTTAAATAAATGAAATTAGTTATATTCAGCAACAACCTCTTTTCACGATATATGTATGTGCCATAAAAAGATATTAACAAAAAGAGATAGAACAATTACAATTAAAACTACATATCAATATTTGATTTTCTTTAAGGATAATAATAATGGTTCGGCATATTACAAATGGTTTACTAAGGCTACATGGTTCAACACCAAACATCAGATGATATATGTAATACAAATAAAATTTGTTATATTCAGCAACAACTTGTTTTCGATATATGTATGTAACATAAAAAAATATCAACAAAAAGATATAGAATAAATACAATTAAAACTATATATCAATATTTGTTTTCCTTTGTCATCACTAAAATTGAATTGGTTTTATATGTGTGAAGATAAAATGAATGGTTCAGTCATAGGTCTATAGTTATCCAAATTCATCATATAATATATCAAATCAAATCTCTATCTTTCAAGTTTTCAAAGATTCAAACCGCTCATCAATTGGATTTTTATTGAGTAAGTTATGGCTAATTTACTACTGATTATCCAGTGGAAATCGAGAAATATGAGAAACTGAAATGTGTGTGATGATAAAAGGAATGGTTCGGAAGTGGGGCTAAATTTATCCAAATTAACCATATAATATATCAAATTAAAGCTCTATCTGTCTAATTTCTAAAGATTCAAATATCTCATCAATTGCAGTTTTATTGAGCAAGTATTTACTACTAATTGTTCAGTGGAAACTGAAATGTGTGATGATAAAAGGAATGGTTCAGAAGTGGGGATACAGTTATCCAAATTATGTGTATAATATACCAAATTAAATCCCTATCTATTTAATTTCTAAAGATTCAAACCTCTCATCAATTGGAGTTTTATTGAGCACGTTATGGTCAATTTACTACTGACTATTTAGTGGAAACTGAAATGTATATGATGATAAAAGGAATGGTTTGGCAGGGGGGGTACAGTTATCCAAATTAAGCGTATAATATATCAAATTAAATTCATTTCTATCTAGTTTTATTAAGCACGTTATGGTCAATTTACTACTGACTATTCAGTGGAAACCGAAATGTATATGATGATAAAAGGAATGGTTTGGCAGGGGGGATACAGTTATCCAAATTAAGCATATAATATATCAAATTAAATTCATTTCTATATAGTTTTCAAAGATTCAAACTTCTCATCAATTGGATTTTTATTGAGCAAGTTATGGCTAATTTGCTATTAACTGTTCAGTGGAGATCAAGAAACAGGGGCAACCGAAATGTATGTGATGAAAAAGAAATGGTTCGGCAGTGGGGCTACAATTATCCAAATTAAGCGTATAATATATCAAATTAAAGACTTGTCTATCTAGTTTCTAAAGGTTCAATCCTCTCATCAATTGGATTTTTATTGAGTAAGTTATGATCAATTTACTACTAATTGTTCAGTGGAGATCGAAATGCATGTGATGATAAAATGAATGGTTTACTTAACCCAAATTTAAGAGATTATCATATTAGGAATGATAAGAAATATTTCAAATAACACCTATTGATTAGAAAACGGAATCAACCAAAATTAATTCATTTAACATATATACTCGTACATCAGCAGGATATAAACAATTAATTACTCATATAACAAAATAAAATACACGAATGTTTTTACAGAAAACATATTCAGCACAAATGAGCTGTTTCTACTAATATAGATATGACACATACTCACAGTTCGACTGACAATAGGATTATCCTCGATTTGATCTTAGTAAAGTACATGAACATTTCCTTGAAAACAAACATAACAAAATTTAATCGATCTTTATGTTAAGATTGTTAAGGAATAATTATTCATTCGTATAACAACTATTACCTAAAAATGAAATAAACAAAAGTTAATTAATCTTTATATTAAAATTGTTAAGGAATACACTTACCATTCGGTAGAACTAACACAATTAATCATTCAAATAGATTGACCGAACAAAAACAATCATTTAATCAAATAATAACCATTAAAATAGTTAGGAGATGTACTTACGATTTTGTATTAAAATAGTTAGAAGATATACTTACAGTTCAGAAGAACGAATCAAAATAACAACTCAATTGACAATGTCGATTGGACATCCTGCCTTTATTTCATGCCAATTCATGAATCTTTGACCTATAAACAACAATAAAAACATAAATAAATAAAAAATCATCGATTAACAAAATCATGAAGAACAGACGTATTATTGACACAAACTAACATGACCTATAAACAATTAACAAAAGACCAGACGTATTGTTGACACTAACTAATATATTGCGATAATATACTACTGAATATACGCCCCTTTTATAACCCCTCATTTAGACCTTTCTTATGCCAACACAATTAAATACGAATTGAATACGAAGAAAGGTTTGCAATGTCAATACAATGCACCTATATAATTATTAATAGCAATCCTAGACAGATGTCATTAAACCACAATTATTAATAGCAATCCAATGCATATGTATACTTGTTATTAATGCACATCCAATTGTCAAAATAGTTACAGATTTGGAATGTCAATGCAATGCACCTATATTATTATTATTGGAATATCAATGCAGTGTATTAATATCTCATTAAACCACACATCCAACTTTGGAATACCAATGCAGCAATTAATATTGTCTACATCATCACCAAATTAAAATTCAACCACATGACAATCACAAATCCAAGGTGTCACTATGGTTAGACTTTTAGAATCTCAATGCAATGCACCTATATAATTAGTATTACTATTAATTATTAATACAATTTTTATTAATTATTAATTATTAATACAAATCCAACAAGTCAAGATGGAGCAATAAATACAAATCCAATGTATCAAGATGAAGCAATTTGATTAGGCTCATTAAACCACAAATCCTAA